CCCCGCGTCCACCAGTTCCCCACCCCCCCCCCCCCCCCCCCCCCTTACCCGGCCCCCCCCTGGCCCAGCGATTTCCGTCCCGGTCCCTCGGCCTTCTTTGGTCCAGGGGCGGGGCCCGGACGGGGGCGCCCAGGTTACGTAACCCGAGGGGAGTGGGCGGGGGCGAAGGCCCCCAGAGCGTCTTACGTCACGCGGTTGGGCGGAAGGCTGGCCAATCCCGACAGGCTGGCGGGGAAGCAGGGGGCGGGGCCCTGGAGGAAGACAGTGTTTGTAAAGGGCGCGCCTCCAGGAAAGGGGGGCGTGGAGACGCCCGTTTAAAGTACCGGAGGCTGAGGGTGCACCAGCTCATCCCTGGTGGAGGGCGCCGTGCAGACCTGCACCCCTCGCCAGGGCCTGTCCATCAGAAATCTTCAGTGTTTGTCGGGTGAATGAAAGGAATTGCATAGGAAGGGAAGTGTGCCCGTTGTTCATGCCGTGTGTTGGATAAACCATCTTATTTTTTCCAAATGATGGCAGATCGCACTCGCCTCTGAAGCTCTTTCGTCAGGGTGCGTTCATTCAAGTATTTATTGAATGCATATCTGGTTAGTGATGAGTGTGGCCCCTGGGCCGGGAGAGCGTTGTGGCCACTCAGGGAGTCCACATGTTATTGACATAAAACATATGAACAACTCCATAAAGTTCAGGAGGTGGCAGGTGCTGTGCAGAACATGAAACAAGCTTGCAACGGTTCTCAACCTGTGGGTCGCGACCCCTTTGGCTGTCGAACGACCCTTTCACAGGGGTCGTCTAAGACCATCCCGCAGATCAGATATTTACATTACGATTCATAACAGTAGCAAAATGACAGTTATGAAGTAGCAACGAAAATAATTTTATGGTTGGGGGTCACAACATGAGGAACTGTATTTAAAGGGCCAGAAGGTTGAGAACCACTGGATAAGGTGTAACTAGGACAGGCCTGGGGGTGAAGGAGGCAAGAGGCACATTAGCCAGGGAATCCGGGAGGCCTCTGAGAAGGTGAAATTGAAACCTGGGTGTGTGAAGGGGGTGGGGAAGGCCCTGCCATAGAGCAGGTTTGCTGGTGAGAAACCGAAAGGCAGGATACTTTGCCTGGAGAACAGGGAGGGGGAGGATGGTGCCAGTTGGGGTCAGAAGTTAGGAAGGGCCAGACTACAGTGGGCCTTATCATTAGGGAAACTTGGATTTCTTTCTAATGGTGGTGGAAAGGGGCTGGTTTTAAGCAAGACAGTGATTTGTATCAGACTGCTGCACAGGAAATAGTTCAAAGTTAGGAGGCCTTGATTCCAAGAAGATACATTTGGGGGCACAGAGCCCTGTGGATGGAATGAGAAGAGAGCAGCAAGGTGACTCCTGAGTCTGGTTTAAGCAGAGCCATTTGTGATGGGACATAAACTTAGAGGGAAGACTGAGAGTTACGTTTTCACGTTATGTTTGAGAAGTAGAGTTGTCAGGTAGGCCGTTGGATTTCTCAGCCATTCTCTGGATGGACATTATTGACTAGAGGCCCGGTACACGAATTTGTGCACAGGTGGGGTCCAGCCGGCCCACTCCAATTGGGGCTGGGGTGGCAGGGGGCACAGGAGGTCAGCGGGCTGGCCCTGCCCCCGATCGGGGTGGGGTGGGGCCGATGGGGGGCCAGGCTGGCTGGCGGAGAGGGGCCACAGGCAGCTGGGGGGCCAATTGGGGCCGCAGTGCTTGTCAAAGCAGCCGGTTGTCCTGGGGTTCCCGTCACTTGGCCTTTATATATACAGATAGAAGAAGAGGAGTGGGAGGCTGTTAGGTTCATATTGAGTTGGGAGGCCTATGTCTAACAGGCCAGCCATCAGTAGGTTCATGAGCAGAAACATGGGAATAGATGACTGAGAGTGAGTGGAATGAAAGACAAGTTGGCTGAGCACCCTGCCCCAAGGAACCCTGACATTTAAGGGGGGGCAGAGAAAGAGGAGCCCATACATGGTAGATTTCCTTCAAAATCTTGAAAATGGCACCGAAGTTCTACAGATTTCATGATAAGAAGGACCTGAAGAAGAGGCACAATTCTTTTCCAGGACAATAGCAGGTCGGACAAGAAAAGGAATGCCCATCTGTCCAAGGCAGTGGGGAAAGTCCACCTCTTCTCTCCCAATAGGATGCCATGGAAACGGACATTTTACGGTAAACGTTAAGTCTACTTCCACCGCATGATATGCTTCCCCAGGGGCTGCTGAGTAAGAGACTATGTTCAAGGGGAAAGAGAAGCAGAATCAGAACAGGAACCACGTGTTGGAAGTGTCCCTCACCTCCCAAACGATACCCCCCATCCCAGGCAGGCAGCGGCCTGCTGTCCCACACGCCGGCCAGCTCTCACAGCACCTTGAAAGACCACATACTTAAGAATTCAGAAGCCACATGCTGACAGATTCGGTGTCCATGAGAAAGCCAGTCCCCCCCTCCTCCCCCCGTCTCCTATACTGGAAAGCACTCTGCACAAGAGGGTAGTTTGCTCTGTTCACTGGCGGATGGGGATATGCTGGGTAACAGGAAGTTAGGGAGCTCAGGGAGGGACTGGTGAGTAGGGGATTATAGGGAGGCAGGGGGCACGGCAAGGAACGCCATTTTTAGGACTTTGCCAGGCACAGCTCCTCCTCTATAAGCAACACAGGACCAGAATGATGTTGATAAACACTTTATTGAAGTCATTACAGTGGGCAGTTCCCAGCTACATGCAGAAACGAGTGAGGTATCCTGGGTTAATGCAGGAGCCGGTGGGTTACATGGGGCTGAGCACAGGCCAAGGAGAGAGCACCACAGTTTCGATGTCAGACTCGGCCAGAGACCCTGAGTCGAGGGGGCTGACGTCCCTACACTGACGGCTGCTTCCTTCTCACAGCCGGGCGTGTTCTCACTCATGTCAGTGCCATAGGGGACAGATGCCAAAGGAACGGAACCCGTGTCCTGGCGGACTCAGCTGCCGCTGCTCTGCACGTCCCGGGCCAGCATGTGAGCTCCCGGACGGCAGGCGGAGTGTAAACCTCTGCTTCTCCCTCGGGCCTCCTTGCCTGTCTTCATTCACACCTGACTGCCCGCCCTTGAGCCGCACATCCTGATGCTGAAAGTCCCAACAGAATTCTCTCAGGGGACAAAGCAGCATCTTGTGCAGACAGTCTACGTCTATGACAGCGAAGAAAGACAGTGTCTCGGTCAGCTACCTCTGTGAGAAGTCAGCCACCCTGACCAATGCTAACTAAAAGCTACTGTAGGAGACAGATTCAGGAAGGGGAATATGAACAAAAATGGAAACAAACTCCAAAAAGCTATAGGCTGTGAGGCCTGGGCCAACTCATGACCAGTTCACAGAGCGTCTTCCTTGAAGGCTACAACAGTGTTGCTCACATAATTCTCAGAGACACACTGGAGCCCACGGCTGTATTCTGCGATCTGTCTCTAGGTGCGAGATGGTCGGGGTCTAGCTGGAACCTTCTCTAACCCCAGGAAACGCGGTGACTAGGAAGGGGAGTTGTAACACCTGCAGGGTTTTAAGGCAAGAAAGGCCTGAGGATGTAGAAGCTTCACAAGCAACATTACAGCTTGGATTCCGAAGGCACCAGAGTTCCATGGGTCACCTTCTGGAATTGATCTGTCAGGAGCGGACTCAAGGGCATTTTACTGGATTTAACTTTTTGGCAAAATAGGAACTTTGGTCATAGCCATAGTTCTATCAAAATGTTTTAAAGAGGTTATTTCTGATTAAAATATTTTAAAAATATGATACAAAACAGTAACAAGAAAGTAAACATCTTCGTATCTAATGTAAGAACAAAAATTCTTTACCAGCATCTTATTTTAAACACAGTGAAAGCATCAGTAGTGCTTATAAACAGTAGAGGGTTCTCGCATAAGGAACCAGGAAAGGAGAAAATAAGGCACAACCTGTCGTTGTCACAGATTTGAGTGAGACAGTAGTGTTCTCTCTGGAAGGCACAGACGGGAGATCTGATCACCCAAAGGTTTAAATGTGGTTCTGAAGAGAAGGTCACATGACGGGACAGCTAACTTGGAAGGAAGCTCCCTAACTGGAATTAAAGGCGATTACCAGACAAGGCTACTGCGAGGCGGCGCACTCTGGGACTCCAGAAGCCTCCCGTCAGCCCGGGTGAAGTGGTGAAGGCACTGTGCAAACTGCGGGCCGGGCTGACCACACTTCTGGTCTGGAGTGCATGTTAAAAAAAGGGCACATTTCCTAAAAATCAAACTTTACATTAACTAGCAGAGAATAATCATTTTACACATTACAGTTTGTAAGCTTGATACGAAAGCAGGCTCTACGTCAAAGTCTTGAAGAGGTTTCCGGAACAGCAGGCTGGAGGCTCGCTGGTTCTTCACGAAGACACGCTCCACACTAGTGAGCAGGGAGAGGGAAGAGCAAGGAGACAGTTAGGCTCCGGCGCATCCGGGAGGAACCTGCGCTCCAGCCCCCGGGTGAGCAGAGCGGGCTCCGGGCCTGCTCCTCCCCGTGGCTCAGCGACATGTGGTGGCGGCCAGACCAGCCTGTCCAAAGGAAGGCCCGCAGATGTGTCTGCACGGGGCTAAATGGCCATGGGCTGTCCCAGAACTGTAGGTAGTCTCATCAGCGGTAACAGTAACGATGGGAGAGTGTATTTATTTATTCATGTAACTGTTATTATTATCATATGCCAGGTAACACCCTAAGCACTTTTTGTCTATGAACCAGTTTTGGCCTCATAACCAACACATGAGGGAGGTACTCTTATTATCCCCATTTACAAATGAGGAGACTCGAGTTCAGCGACACTAAAATGCTTGCCACAGCCACGCAGTTGGATGGCGGTGGAGCTAGGATGGCCCGTGCTGTTACCTGCTAGACTACACTGCTTCT